TGATAATGATAATGATAATGATAATGATAATGATAATGATAATAATAAATAGTAAAATAAAGAAAAAACCTGAAGGGAAATTAGTGGAATATTCGATTCGATGGTAATATTAACAATTTGTTGTAACATTGTAAGTTGTTCCGGTGAAGCAAATGTTGCAATTGATTTCGATAAATTAATATCCGAAAAACCATCTTGAATATTTAATTCTAAGCGATCGTATAATTCCTTACCATATTGTCGTAAATCATATAAATGATACTTGTTATCCATTGCAAATATATGATATAATGTTTCATTACGCATACATGATCGTATTACATTAGCTAATGATAATTGATTCATTAGTGGTGATAAGTCTTCTTCTATCTGTTTACTACGCCATGCATCAAATATACGTTCACTAAGCTGCAAAATTAAATTAAAATCACAAAAATATTACTAAGTTTCATTTGCATATGCAACTTCATTTATTAAATTTAACAATTCTTCATTTTTTTTCGTTGTATTATTGATGACTCAGAAAATAGAATAAACAAAAAAAGCACACACACAAATCTATTATATATGTTTAGGAGATTAGTAATTTGTTGGAGATTATAAAAGAGCCTACCGAAAGCATATCAGGCCTTGAAAAGGGATCATCCAATGGCCAACATCCAAGTGAATAGGCATTAACACCAATCAATAGAAAGGAAGCTGTTAATGCAGCTATCAATGGTAACAGTATTATTGCTAACCAAATTCCACTATAAATTTTTTTTTTTTGTTTAATGATAAAATTTAGTAATTCTTTATAAGAAATACTTTCAGAGCAAAGAAAAGGAGAAGAGTAAATTAATTAATGCTTTAATTAATTTAATACTTTAGCTCTTTTTTTTAATCAAAAGAGAAAGAAAAACATAAAGACAATTTAGGATAAATTAATAGTTGTTTGAATTGAAATTAATATCAAAAGATTACAATATCTCATATATTATCATATAATTAAATACTACTAAAACTAATATCAGTTAGAAATTTGTCAAATTAAAATCATACTTTTAACTTTATAAATGTAAATCCCTCATAGTTATCATGCTATATATTACTTCAAATATACCAATAAAACTATTAAATTTTATTTGTAACTATTAGTTTTATTGTTATTAATTATGACATAATCAACAAATATATTTCTATTTAATTATCATTGTTGTCGTTACCATGTGAGTTCATAATAATTGCTAATTTCAATAAAATATGCTAATACTCATAATCTTCTCATCTTCAATATAGAATAAATTTAAAAAAAAAAAAGAAAAAACGTTAACATACCAAACGAAAAGTTTACTGCCGGTGGTTCGTATACAGCAATCATTTCGATAATCATTTGGTCGTCGTCCAAAACAACCATAACATAATGCAAATAAGAAATAAAGCGCTTTTAATGAAAATATGGCACATAAAGTTAGAGATGCATACCATCTGAAATTTAATTATTAATAAATTTAAAATTGTAAATAAGTGAATATGAATCTTTTAAATAGTATCATAAAATTTGTTGTTAAAAGAATCAAATATTAAAGTTAATTTTATACACTTCATTGAATATATCATCTAAATTAATATTTTTCGTCATTTTTATATTTGAAATTGTTTTTAACGAAAAAAAAAAGAGAAATAAAGAAAGAGAAAATAATATACGTGTATTGAACAATACTATGATAACTATCACCCATGTACTGTTTCAATACATTATGCAATAATTCAGGTTTAATTTGTCGTAATTGTGTTGATAGCGTATCAGCAATACGTAACAGATCATGTTGAATTTCTTTTATGCTTATTTGTACAGCTAAAATTATTTCAACTGTTTTTAATAATCAATCAATATTACTATATTGATATCGTTTGAAGAAAAAACAATGGTAAAAATTAATAAATAATTAATATGCTATTATAATATTGAATGAATCATAACAAAAAATTTTCACTCGATAAATTAAAAATTTTAATATAATTAGCTTTAAACCTTGTTCTTTTTCTTGTACTTTTTTGTTTAATTCAATTTCGCCATCTTTAAAATCCGATATTGCTTCAACAAATATTTCAGCAATGTTTGATTCTACTAACATTTTCAATGCATTCATCGTATCACTGTTAAGAATATCCTGGAAAGGAAAAAAGAAAGAGAGAGAGAGAGAGAAAAAAAAAGATGAGTAATTAATAAGAATTAATTAAGCAATAAATGGACATGTTAATTAAAATTATGAAATTACTGTTAGCGTATGAAAATTACCGTATGTAGGATAGCGCATGAAGTATAGGGTAGCAAAAGTATAAGATAGCATATGATTTTCTAATTAGTAATTAATGTAACAATTTACCGATTTACTCTTTTTCCTTCTTTAAATTTATTTAAAAATTTTGCCGAAATAAAAATATGAAATTTTAGTTTACTTGTCGAAGATGAAGCGTAATGTTATCGATATCAGCAAGTTCATTTCCAATTTCCTGACAACGCTTTTTAATAACTTGCAAATCATTATGAATGCAATCGTATATTTCATTAATTGAAGTTCGATACAACTTAGTTAGCTCATTTCGCAATGAAAACAATTCACCGTTTAATGTTTTCAATTCATTTTCACCATCAATTACAAGTTTCAACAATTCCTGAGCTTCTAAAAAAAAGAGCAAAGGTCAGGTTAGAAGCAATAATTCTGTTACACTGAATAAAGGTCGAATTATTGGTACTTATTTTCAGAAATATATGTACCACAATATTGCAATATTATTGTTTTTTTAATACAAATTTAATTCATGCGGCAGCAAAACTTTATAATTAAAAATAATCAGAGAAAAAAAATTTAAGATTTGATAGAAAGAAAACAGGTGCAGAAATATTTCAGGAAAGACTGTTTGCAAAATCTCAATTTTCATACAATAACTTTTTTCAATTAGTAGATTTGAATTTGATTATTGATAAATAATGTGTAAAACAAGATTTTAGTTTTTTGCGGCAAAAATTTAATCAAAATTTTAATTAACCATTCGAAATATTAAGAAACGAATCCATCGCATGTGCACCAGTAATTTTTTTGACACGTTGCACAATCGGTTCACCGCCTGAGGCAATCAGAGTAGATAATGATTCATTTAATTTTTGAAAATCATCAATTAATGTATTTCGAATTTTCTGAAATAAAATTTCAAATTTCTATAGATTTTTCGTGATAAATCAAATATTTTAGGAGAACAAACATACATTATCGCTTTCAAATTGAAAAAAAAAATTTTTTTTGATGAACTAACAAATTTGTTAATCAATTTTCAATTTTATCACAGTGATGTAGAACATTTTAAATGTACTTGCTAATTATATTAATTAGAATTATTGAAGTATATCTACTGATAACATATAGCAACGAACATGAATGAATATCTGAAAGGAAATTAATGATATATTTGTAAATTAATTAAATTAAAAAATGTTCTATGCATATATCATTCATTAAATCATTCTTCTTAATCCATTCCACCTTATTAATTTACATATTTCTAAAAGGAGAAAAAAAAAAACCAAAAGAAGATGAACGAACTTGATCCGTTTCCTTTTTATAATATGAGAGATCATCAATGCAATGACTGAGACGTCGAGGTAGTTCATCTGCTCCATATTCCGCATATTGACTGCTTATAAGCAATGAGGATACCGCAAAACTGAATATTCAATAAATATTTCTCATCAAATTATAAATATTACATTTGTAAGATATTAAGTTATTGTAATCATTTTAAAATTTTCAAATTAGTTAAAATTATTTTTACCATTACTTTCCATTTAACAATTATTGGCAATGAAGAATTATATTTTAGTTGACCTTTAAATATATTTACTCATAGAATATCATTCACTTGGTACCTGCATATGATTCCTCAAATAAAATAGTTAAGTGATTTATTAAAGTAAAATAAAATAAAGTAGGAGGAAAAAAAGTA